AAGTTCTGATTATCAAGCCATTGAGGCTAGGTCAAAAGGGTACTGTCTGCAAGTTTGGGTATTCTTGTGCACCAGACCCATCTAGACAAGATGAAAATTATTTAGTGGTGATTCTTTCTTCGCCCACACACTATGAAACTAAACTCCCCCTTGATTATATGCTACCTCTTGAACTACTTGACCATCAGATTCTTTTTGGTACAGTGACTCTGAATTCTATCCATTTTCTTTTGATGCTTTCACCATCAGTCAATATTTTGTCCATAGAATCCTTCAATATTGCAAGCCAAGACTTGAGTTGTTCCCTCAATTCTTACAGCTTCAGAAATGCTAAGCATATTCTTTCCTTTTGGTTTTCTAATTCCAGGGCCTTGCATATTTCCTTATAATACTTGACTTTGTCTTCCTGAGCTGCCCTTTGAAAATTTCTGTTCAGCTCTTTGACTTCCTACTTTCTTTCATTCACTTTAGCATCTCTATGCTGGACTCATGGTGTAGTGCTGTAAAGTCAGCAATTCAAACCCACCAGCAACCCCTTGTAAAACCCTATAACAGGGTCACTATGAGTCAGAACCAACTTAATGGTACTTAGCAACATTACTTAATGGTCAGACACTGATTAGACAGAATTTGTTTTCAAATACTTGGAGTAAGGTCTCTGTCCAATTTTGGTGAATCTGTGTGTGAGTAGGGAAGGGCATGCAGAGTTTGGGCCATCTTGAAATCTGCCCTGGTTTGTACTTCCATCTGGGCTCTTTGCATCTCTTATGTGCATGTGTTTTAACCTCATGATTGACCAGGTATGTGTGGCTCACTTGAGCCCTCTCAGGTTATCTGACATTCAGTCTCAGCCAAAAAATGCTTGCTACAACCTCAGGCTAGTAGAGCCTTAGCCCTCTCTGCTAATAGAGCCTTGGCCTGCTCTGCTCACTTGTCTCTGAGATTACCACTTGCACCAACAGTGCCCTGAGTGTGGGCATTGCCCACCACTCCAATTGCTGCTATCAGTTCTTATAGCCTTCCTCATCCCAGAAATTCACCAGTTTCATAACACCTTTCTGATTGTTTTGTGCCTCTGGTTAGTTTTCAGAGTGCTGAAAAGATTGTTTCTGTCAATTTTCCTAGTTTAATAGTTGCTTTGGGGGAAATGGATGGCTAGAAACTCCACTCCTCTTCTCACTTTGTTGTATATTCAACTTCACTTCCTTTGCCTGAGGCTCCCAAGACTCAGTCCCAGGTCCTCTTTCCTCATTCTAAGTGTTCTTTTCCAGTCCTACACTTTTAAGTGTGGTCAATACATTGATTCCTATTTTATATCTCCAGAGTCCTGGTGTGGCACCTAAGATAATGTGCTGGACCGCAAGGTCAGTTTGAACAGCAAGGTTGATAGTTCAAAATCACCAGCCTTTTCTAGGAAAACCCTATACAGGGTTGTGAGTCGGAATGAACTCGTTGGAACTTAACAACAACTTTGTATCTTCAGCTCTGACCCCTCCCTTGAGCTCCAATTTGATTCTCCAGCTGACTATTTGACATCTCTAAAAAGAGGAAGACCCCAGCGAGATGGATTGGCAATATGGCAGCATCAATGGGCTCAAGCGTGGCAACAATTGTGAGGTTGGCCCCAGGATCGGGCAGTGTTTTACTCTGTTGTGCACAGGGTCGCTATGAGTCGGTACCCACTCAATGGCACCTAACAACAACAACCTAAATGTCTAATTTATTGATAAGTGCCGTTGAGTCAATTCCAACCCATAGCAACCCTATATAGGGTTTCCGAGGAGTGGGTGGTGAGTTTGAACTTTTGACTTTGCAGTTTATACCAACTTTGTGATCCAGAGCATTAATCCACAGCACCACACCAGGACTCCATATGTCTAATTGTTTTTGTTGTTAAGTGCCATCAAGTCAGTCCTGACCCATAGAGATCCTGTATTGGGTTGCTGGTGAGCTTGAACTTCTGACTTTGCGGTTTAAACCAACTTTGCGGTCCAGAGCATTAATTCACAGTGCCACACCAGTACTCCATATGTCTGATAGACCCCTCATATTTAGTATGGCCAAAAGAGAATGTTTCAGTTTCTCCTCCAAGACTGGTCTCTCATCCTGTTTACTCTCAATTTCCAGAAATTAAATAACTACGAATTATCCTTTCTCTCCTTCCTTCACCTGCACATCCAATCTGCAAGAGCCCTGGTAGCACAGTGGGTTAAGCATTGGGTTGCTAATCATAAAGTTGGTGGTTCAAATAAATTTGAGGGAGGCTGAGAGATTGGGTGTGGGATAAAGAAAGTCGATTTGGAAGTAGATCTGACATCCAATCTGAGAGATTGGATGTCAGTATATAATTCCAAATTCATTTACTTTTCTCCATCTCCATTGCTAATCTGCCCAGTCCAAGCTTTCATCATTTATGGGCTGAAAGACTACAACAGCTTCCTCATTGTTCTCCTTTCTTCTATGTCTGTCCCTGTACAGTCTGTTCACTCAGTGATCTAAATAGTCTTTTCAGATTATAAACTAAGTCTTGTTGCTTCCTACTGGATTAAGAATAAAATTTGTAGTTTGTGCCGTAAGCATCCTAACTTATCCCTACCTCAAGGATGGCACTTTCAGGCTGGACTACTCTGTCTCCAGACCTTGACCTTGTAGCTGATACCTCCTTAGGGTAGTCTTCACAGACTACTTGTCCTCATAATTCTTTATCAGTCACTTTTGTTTATTGTTTGTGTGTATTCCCTTCATAGCATTTTTCACTCTGTCATTATTTTAAGGGGAATTGGAGGCAATTAACCTTAAGGTCAGAATTTCAAACCCAGCAACTGTGCCCCAGGAGAAATATGAGACTGTCTGCTCCTATAAAGAAATCCTAACGAGGATCTACTCTGTCCTGTAGAGTCGCTATGAGTCAGGATGGCAGTGGATTTTTTTTTAGTCACAATTTTGCATACTTATTTAATGCTTCATACCTTGTCTGTCCTATTTCTGATATGGCCCAGACCAGCACGTAGAAGACCCATTGTGAGTACAGGTATGTGGAATGTTTGAGTGTACACTACAACCCAAGAGTGGTTCCAGCAGAGAGGTACGGTCATTCATTCAGCAGGTGCTCATCAACCCCTGCTGTGGGTAGGTATTGTACTTAATATTGGGGATGCAAAATCATAAAGGATGTGTCCTGCTTGTTTTGTTAGTAGGGAGCTAATTTCTGAATATTAAATGGTAACCCCATTTCCTTTAAACAAAAAGCCAGAATATTCAAGGAGAGAATGTCTGGGCTGTGATCCCTATTGATCATTTTCCCATTTTAGGCTTTCATCTAGAGGAGCTTCTCTTACTCACCCCCTTTTATTTTTAAAGTGCTGATCTAGATGTGCTCATAGTTCTCTTTCCCTTGGTTTTTCTGAGCACAGCTGACGCAAGCAAGGCTTTTCACAAAAATTTAGTAAGCAATGTAGAAGAAAAATGGAAAATTAAACAAGGATCAGAAATAACAGCCATCAGTCCTTGTACTCCAAAGGACTGGCATAGATAAACTTCAGATCTTGTATAGTCTCTACTAAGGAGACTTCTCTCCAGGGCATGTTGATCATTTTTTGGCTCAGACTAGGAGATAGTGGGCTTGTCCTCCTCTCCCAGAGGCCTCTGCCCCAGGTTATCAGTGTCAATGATGGAATTCATTTCTTGGGTGAGACTTTACTTAATCAAAGAGGAAAGTTGTTTCCGGGGCCATCAATTAACCATAGGTTAATATCGTGTTTCCTAAAGTACCTAAAGAACTTGCATTTTATATTAGATGATTCAGATGTTTCACAGTCAGATCAAAAATTGAAAGAAATTGCTGCCTTTTCAAACCTTTCAGTCCTTCTGATTCTATCAGTAGGGGATTCTCATTTGAGTGCTACCATGTCTTTAATACCTCTCTGTAACAGTTCTGTTCTTCCTCTTAAACAGAGCTCTAAGCCTCTGACACCAGTACCTGATGAGAATTGCTTAATTTTTATTGCATTTATTTTTATTGGTATCTACTTAAAATGATCTAAACATTAAAATAATTTTATTAAGTAGAGGAAGTTGACGTATGTAAAATTATAAAATAAGTAATAGTATAGATGATATAGAGTCCCTGGGTGGCGCAAACAAACACTTGACTACTAACCAAAAGATTGATAGTTCAGGTCTACCCAGAGGTGCTTCAAAAGAAAAGCCTGGCAATCTACCGTATTTTTTGCATCCAGCATTACCTATAACAGTTATGTAGTATAACAAGAATTATTTGCCTAAAAATACTGTACTTTCAAAAGGTGACACCCTTTGAAAACCATGTGAACACAGTTCTACACTGAAACACATGAAGTCATCATGAGTCAGACTCAACTCTGTGGCAATTGGGTTGGTTTTATAAATGATGTAAGAACATAGCATGAGCCATAAAGGCAGTAGGGGCTAGCTGACTGACGTTCACTGATACAGTAGTGTGGCAGGGGTTAAAAGACCACACTGTTAAGGCAGGTGTTTAGTAACTAAGAGATTTTTTTTTTAATTTTCTCCTCTGTAGTGGAGCACATGATCCAGAAGAACCAGTGTCTCTTCACTAACACCCAGTGTAAGGTTTGCTGCGCCTTGCTCATTTCTGAGTCCCAGAAGCTGGCACATTACCAGGTATGCCTCTGTACTTCCAGAATTGCTTTACTTTCCAGACCCCAACTTCTCCCTGGCTTGTGCAGAGAATATAACCACCCAGACATTGCCTCCATGCATGTTGTCTTATGACTGGAAGGTTGACTTAACTGTTCTGAGTCTCATCTCTTCCATCAAAATGAGGACCATTATACCTGTATCTTTCCTTGTGGCTTGATATAGTAGGGTAGGAAGTATGAGCTTTGGCTTTAAATAGGTCTAAGTTTATATCACAACTCTGCTACTCATCTTCAGGCTCCGTTTTCTCATCCATAAGATAAATTATAATCATCTTCTCATAGACTTGTTGTGGACTTTAAACTGGATAGTGTGTGTAAAGTGTCTTGTACATAGTAGAAACTGAATAAACTAGATATCTTTCCCCACCCTCTTCTCCTTAGAAGTTTTAGTACAAAGGAACCAGATATAAATCTGTTACATGTTTTGAGTGCCTTAGGTATGAAATGGCATTTGGCTATCTTTGTTCTTTTTCCTGGGTTCTTGCAGAGCAAAAAACATGCCAACAAAGTGAAGAGATACCTAGCAATCCATGGAATGGAGACATTAAAGGGGGAAATGAAGAAGCTAGACTCAGATCAGGTAATACAGCTGCCATGTTGAGACTGCTCGCTTCCTGGTGAAGCTAACAGCCAGGTTGGTGTGGTGGAAAGAACATGACCATCGGAGTCAGACTTATTAGGCTTCAAGTCCTGGTCCTGCTGTGTGACTTGGATCTTGATTCTTCTCCACAAAAAAATGAGGACGATAATAACCTTTTCCAGTTTTCCAAACTAAAATGAGGAGGCACCCAACTAAAAAGCACCCGACAGAACCTGGCACATACAAGGGGGCTTCAAAAGTTCATAGAAAATTTTCAATATTTTTTAGTTCAACTTTTTCATAACTTTCTGAAGCCCCCTGTTAGTAGGGGCTCAATAAATGGAGTCCAGTGGTTTGTTGAGCAGGACAAGAAGCTGTCTATTCACTGCTCAAGGAAAGAAAGTGAGAGAGAGCCAGACTGCTTGCTTTCTTGTGATCCAAGGGGAAATGCCAAGTTCAGCGCTTGAATATTTTGAATAAATAAGTAGAAGGAACCTTTCCAAATGACTGTTCTGATTGAGATGTAGTCATATAAGCTTTTTGGCTCAGAAATAGCTTGAGAACTATGCTAAAGTGGTTCCCCAACTTTCAGGGAGTACAAGTATTTTTATTCCCTGAAAGGCTATGCAAAGGTCATGAGATGAGAAGTCAGCAGACTAGGGCTCTGTGACCTACTGGTTGTGTGACTTTGCTTAACATTCCTAAAATGGATCTTATAATCTCTTATCTCTTAAGGGCTGTTGTTGTTGTTATTAAGTGCCGTTGAGTCAGTTCTGACCCATAGCAACCCTGTATAGGGTTTCCAAGGAGAGTCTGGTGGACTTGAACCACTGACATTATAGTTCAAGCCAACCTTGCGGTCCAGAGCATTAACCCACAGCACCATACCAGGACTCCAACTCTTAAGGGTATTGTCAGCTAAATGTCCAATTTCCAGTACATACTCAGCAAATAGGAGCTTACTTTACAAGCTCTTACCTCATACATCAGTGGCCACAGGTTTGGAAGGGTCTTGCTCGTCTCTTTTCTAGATCCCCTAGAATCCTCCTATGGTGGTCCTTATGATTTAGAATTCATGAATATAAGAGTCCTAATTATCTCTAGTCAATTCTGTGACCTTGGGCAAGTGCTTCCTTGTACCTCAGTTCCTTCAATTTTGGGGTGGTCCATTGGTTCAAAGGAGACCACATATGAGAGGACTTCAAAAAATTTGTGGAATAATAGAATTTTCCCGCAAACTCTTTGAAGCCCCCTCATATACGGGAGGATTTTGAAAACAACAATTCTATGTAGAAAAGAGGTTGTTAACATCAAGCCCTTACTCTTCTTCTTGATCTAGGTTAATGATTACAGCAGTGGTTATCGATTGGGGCAATTTTTGCACTCAGATCACATTTGGCAATATCTGAAATTTGGTTGTCACAACATGAGGTTTTTGTTACTGGCATCTAGTGGACAGAAACCAGTGATGCTGCTATATATCCTACAATGTACAAGACAGCCCACAACAAAAATTTTTCAGCTCAAAGTATCAACCATGCCAAGGCTGAGAAACCTTGTCCTAGAGTGAATATACCCTATTTGGAGATCAGACTTTCTCAGAAAGTCTTAGGATCCCTTAAAATAGACTTGAAATACACTGTTTTCTCATCTAATCATAATCAACAAATTAAACCCAGTATTCTGCTTGCTCAACAAACCCTGAGTATCTTCTGTGTGCCAGGCTCAACTGGAGTTTTAGGGCTAAGACACAGGCAAGTCAGGCAGTCCATGCCCAAATGTTGCATTTAGTTCACAAGAAAACCACATAAAGTATGACAGTGGCAGTTTAGAATGATAAGTGTTTTCCTAGAGATCAATTTAAACCTCTCTAGAGGCATGCTCTGGTAGCATAGTGATGATGAGTTGGGCTGATAACCTCAAGGTCAGCAGTTCAAAACTACCAGCCGTTCCATGGGAGAAAAATGAGGCTTTCTGCTCCCATAAAGATTTACAGGTTCCGAAACTCTATACAGGGTCGCTATGAGTCAGAACCGACTCCATGGCACACTACTACCACCACCAGGGGCATTTTGGACTGCAAAGTGGTTCAAGCTCACCAGCCGCTCCTCGGAAACTGTATGCAGAACTATTATGAGTCGGAACCAACTTGACGTCATTTAACAACAACAACAAGGGGTATATTGCTGTTGTTTAGTGCCGTCAAGTCGATTCCAACTCAGCAACTCTGTAATAGGATTTCTGAGGAGCAGCTGGTGGGTTTGAACAACTGGCCTTATGATTTCAAGTCCAGTGCTGATCCTATAGTGTCAGCCCAGATTATATAGAGGAGGTCAATTTAAAGCCCTTTAGGAGTATAGAGTAGTCCTGGTGTGGTGCTGAGGACTAATGCGCTGGACTTCAAAGTCAGTTTGAACCACAAGGTCGGCAGTTCAAGCTCCTTGGAAACCCTAAACAGGCTCGCTATGGGTCAGACCAACTCGATGGCACCTAACAACCAAAATAGCAGGTATATAGAGAAGTCCTGGTGTAGCAACTTAGAATAAGTACTAGACTGCAAAGTTGGTTTGAACTGCAAGGTCGGCAGTTCAAACCCGCCAGAAGATCCTTGGAAATCCTATACAGGGTCTCGATGAGTCGGACCCTACTCTACGGCACTTACCAACAACAACAGCAGCAACAGGAGGGATATAGAGGACGGCAATATTAATTCTTTCTGGAATGCTTACACAAAGAGGTTTGATAATTGCTGAATGATTTTCTTAAATGAAGGTCTCCTAAAGAGGTGATATTCTTAAACTGGGTCTTGAAGGCTAGACAGGAATATGCCAAGCAGCAAAGAAGGAAGATCATTCTAGGCAGCAGGAATGGCCCAAACAAAGAAAGGAAGTGTCAGAGAACAAAGTGGGGAATGGTGAGTAGAGCCTGGGATGAAGTAGCTAAAGATTAATCCAGAAAGGTAGGTGGGGGTGGGGTCAGTTTGTGAAAGGGGCCGTGGATGCCCATCCTCCTGTGGGCTTTGGGAAGCCATTGAAGATTTTTTCTGGCTGGGCAGTGGCCTGATTAGACCTGTGTTCTCTCTCCCAACCAGAAGAGCAGCAGAAGCAAAGACAAGAACCAGTGCTGCCCCGTCTGTAACATGACCTTTTCCTCCCCTGTCGTGGCCCAGTCACACTACCTGGGGAAGACCCACGCAAAGAACTTAAAGCTGAAGCAGCAATCCACTAAGGTGGAAGGTACTGGTTTTCCTGAGTAGTGCTATATGGGCCGGGTGCTCTGAGAAATGCTCACTGGGGCCACAGACTTGCAGAGGTTGAATTGTTTCAAGAAACCCTTAAAAATATCAAAGGAGGCCTAGCTTCACTGAAATGTAGCCTCCCTTTCTTTGCTGACATCGATTTTTCTCTGTAGAATCTTCATAACCCTGATCTTGTGTTCTAATAATTATAACTCGCAAGTGCCAAGTCCTCCAGGCTGCACACACAGGAAGAGCGTTCTATCTCCCACACTTTCCCACTTAGATTTTTTTTTTCCTCACAGCATTGCCTTGCCCTTATCACCATGTGTTCCAAGTTGAAAGCCAAATCCTTGTCTTTTTCAAGTGCTAAGGTTATGCCCAGTTCACTTTTATCCTCAAAAAACACCTGTTCTCAAGACAAGGCACTTGCCTTTCAAAGCTGACTATTTCAGTGCTGCCACTATTGCCCAGTAAGCTGTTTGCAGCTGCCATGAATTTATTCTCAGTGCAGCAACAGCTGAAATAGACCCCTTTATCTTGTCACCACTCAGGATCAACCCTCACTTTCATCTCATTAACTCCTGACTTTCTGGGGTTTTTAACCTCCACTAACTGCAATTAGGGAATTGATATTTCTGCAAATGAAAGTTCTTTGATCTTCATTTAATTTTTTCTTCATAGTTTTTGCTTCTTTCTTTGCTCTGGACCAAGGAGTACACTACTTCTTACTCTTTTTTGTTTTGTTTTGTATTAGTACTCCACCATATCAGTGTTTTGAAGGGCTTTGAAGATAAAGTGAAAAATCACTCATAATTATACCCACTTAGCATACCAAAATGTAGTCATTCCTAGTATGAAACAATAGAAATAGGCTTTGAAGTCACAGAGACCCACTTTTAAATGCTGGCAATGTTATTTGCCATCTTGTGACTGCTTCTTAGTATTTGAGTTTCCTCACGTATTAAATGTCAATAATGCTCTTTATTTCATAGGTTATAAGGACAAATGTGTATAAAACACCTAGAGTATAATAGATACTCAGTAAATGACAGCTGCTTTGGTTATTTTTATCATCATTGTCACCATCATCAAGCTAGTTAGTGAATGGACCCCCCCCCCCCCAATAAAATGTAGTAGTTGGCCAGTAGTATCCACCACCTGGAGCATGTCATTGGCCTTACTTTTGGTTCATTCATTGTTAAGCTATAATAGTGCTAATTACTTTTGTTATCCATATGGTACAGAAAAGATTAACGCATCAGGCTAAGGGAACTAACTAGCTTAAGAACAGAACTTTATAAAGTCACAGACTTACCTTTACATAAACAAATAAGAAGGGAATATGCTCAGAAATGCTTTGGCCATGGATAATACACAATTCCAAAGACTCTATACTCATAGTTTGTTTCTATATTCACTTTTTGCCTTTGACACATGCAGATAAGTTTTTCCATAATGTACGTACCATTTGTATTATTTTCCAGTTAATTTTCTAATGTAAGCCATTGCCATGTTATCACATGCGTTTATAACTGTATTTCTGAAATTAAATGTATTTTTTCTAATATAAAAGTAATATAAAGCATGTTATGGAAAATATTTGTTGATGTTTTTAAATGCTGGCAAGTCAGTTCTGACCCATAGCAACCCTGTATAAGGATTCCAAGAAGCTGCTGATGAGCTTGAATCACCAACTTCGTGGTATAAACCAACTTTGCAGTCCAGCGCATTAACTTGCAGCACCACACCAGTATTCCTATGAAAAATATGTTGTTGTTAGGTGCCATTAAGTCAGTACTGACCCATAGCGACCTTATGCACAGCAGAACAAAACACTGCCTGATCCTGAGCCAACCTAACTATTGTTGCCACGCTTGAGTCCACTTGGCCAATCTATCTCGTTGGGGTCTTCCTCTTTTTCTCTGACCTTCCACCTTACCAAACATGATATCCTTCTCCAGTGACTTGTCCCTCCTGGCAATATGTCCAAAGTATGAGAGAAAAATTTTGGCCATCTGGGCCTCCAAGGAGCACGCTGGCCGCACTTCTTCCAATACAGATCTGTTAATTCTTTTGGCAGCCCATGGCACTTTCAATATTCTCCTCCAACACCATAACTCAAAAGCATCAATTCTTCTACGGTCTTCCTTATTCACTGTCCAGCTT